GAGCCTGATTTTTTCCATAATTTTTTATTGGTGCATTGTAATTATACATGATAGTGGGATTTGTTGTTATGTATTCATACATGCACACAATATAACAATATGATCTCTCTTCTTTTTAAAATATTATTTTAGTTGTTGATAGACTTTTATTTTATGTATTTATATGTGGTGCTGAGAATCTAACCCAGTGCCTCATGCATGCCAGGCAAGCGTGCTACCGTCGGGCCCCAGTCCCCACTGGTCTCCCTTCTATTTTCATGAGATCCTCCCCCACCTTTTCCCCCCTTTTTCCTCTCTAGCTTCCACATATGAGGGAAAACATATGACCCTTTACTTTCAAAGTTCAACTTATTTCACTTAATAACCAGCCTCGTCTTAGAATGTGGTTCTTGCTTGGTTTCAGTGAGGTTTCTCTAAATCTTTTCCTTCCTAATTCTCCAGAAGCTGCTTCTTTTTCTTCTTCTTTTTTTTATGGTGGTTCTATGGATTGAACCTAGGGATCATGCATGCTAGGTAAATGCTCTACCACTGAGCTGTATCCCCTGCCATGTTTCCTCTCCCTTTGATGGCTCCTCATTCAACATAACAGGAAGACAAGCCTTAAGGTACTAGTCTTTTTATTTTTTAAAAAAATCTGTATTGTGTGTCATGTGTGTTCTTCCAACCACCTCTTAATGTACTATGTAATCTCCCATTGCATTGCATTAGAGTATGTATGCAAAATGTGGGCACACATAATATGTACACAAACCATGCATATGTGCATATATACATGACATATGTATAATATTATATATACGATATATACACACACTGTGCAGAAAAACTGTATGGATGTCTGCACACTGTTATATACATATTTATATGCTATATGTATGCATATTATACATATATACAGGCAGTTTATATGTATACATGTACACTCCTATATGCACACTATATATGTTATGTGTAGATATTATATATTGTCTATATATTGTGTATATATGCACATGGTACATTGTTTCATAAATTTTGGAAGCATTAGAAACAAAGCTTCACTGTTAATCATATCTTCCTTCATTTCTTGTTCATCTCCATCCACCATCACTAATCCATCCCAGTTTTCTACTCAGGCTATGCTCACAACTTATAATCTTTATTCTAGGGAAGGTAACAGTCTCCTGGGAAAGAAAGCCAGGAAAGCAAATCATCTAATCTAACATTACTGACCAGTGCTGTGATGGGGATGTTAATAGTTATTATAAAAGCCCAAAGAAAGATGGGCCATTGGAGCTAAGTCATGAAGGATTTCCCTGGGTTCACCAGGTAAGACAAAGGCACACCTGGAAAAGCTAGAGCATGGCTAAATCAGAGACAGAAGGAAAAACTTGGTATTCTTGAAATCTGAGAGTAAGCTCAGAGCACTGAAGGAACCAGAAAGGAATTTCAGGGCACATGTCCAGCGAGGCAGTGAGGGCCTGGGTTTGGGTCCCAGCTATAATAAGCATTGGTTGTCTTGCCTCTTGACAAATCATTGAAACTCCCTGGGACTCTGTGCTCTCCTGCCTATGTCATAGGGGTTTCGAGAGACCATATGTAAACAGGTTTGAAGTAAACATTCGAGCTTGCTATAATTTGTTGATTTTTTAAAGAATAGGTGAATGAGTGTGTAGAAAATGGAATTTGAATAATGGAGATGGCGGCAGGTGCTGCGCAAGCTTTAAGCAAAGGAGTAAAGTGATTATATCTAGTTTAAGACAATAACTGGCAACAGAAAGTAGTGAATGTTATTTCTGTTCATAGGCCATGGCAAGTTCTGTCTGGATTTTAAGCTGGCTCCACTGCTTATTAACTTTATGACTTCGAGCAAGTCACTTAATCCCTCTAAGTTTCCTCATCTGTAGAGGGAATCATAGTACCTACCCTTAGAATTGTAGTGAGGAATAGGGAAAACAACATTTAAAGAACTTGGCACAATGCCTTACATATGACAAGCTCCTGTGGAGACTAGCTCTTTGTTACAAGTTGTTAGAAAAGTGTTATGATTACAGATAGAGGTAATGAGCCTGTCACTGAGCAAGTGTGGTTAGGGTGGAGAGGAAGGATTGGATTTATCCTCTATTATAAAAGGTTTTTTTTTATTATGAAAGTAATGTATGCACATGGTAAGATGTTAAACACTAGAAAACAATGAAAAGTAAAAAGTTAGCTTCCATTCACATTCTATTAACTTAGTTCCACTGCAGATACGATCCCTCAACCCTTTCTTGGGTACCAAACCAAAAAAAGTCCAGTTTCTCTCTCTTCTCCTTTCAAGCTGTCATGTATTAAATGGTTTTTAAATTAAAAAAAAAACTAGTGTGAATGAACTTGTTTATGTGAAACCTCACAGGCATTTTTACCCTCTAAATATTTTTACTCACTTCCTTTTTCTATACCTCTTGATCACTGTGTGAAACCAGAGGCTGCG